TATTAGGTAAAATTTTCTTCCTGTCCTTTCTCTCATCAATGCAGTTTTCAGTTTTCTAAAATGTTCTTCATAATAAGCTCCAGTGATCACCTTAAGTTCTTGAGAAAGATCTGAGATCAGCCTTTTATAATCCCCCTTAAAAAAAAGTCTAGTTGATGTAAGCCAATGTTTTGATTGGATCTTTGATTTGAAAACACCTCAAGGAGATTAAGACGGGTCCATTATTGAGAGAACTTGCCTGCAGACATCCACGGATCATAGAGACAAGTTTAAACCCTGGTCTCTGCCTGCATGCAAACTGGAGGAGCTATTAAACTAATAACCATGCCCTTTCACTGGTCTGTGAAAAATAAGTGTACTAAAATATATAAAGATTTTTGTAAAGATTGTTTTATCATTATAATTCTTATTCAATTTTGAAAAATTATTGATTTAAATCACATTTGTAAATACGTAAAGAATATTCATCATGCTGATTCATTGTGACTATTACCTTTCAGCATAAGTTCTAGAATATTTGACAATACCTTGAGTTTAAAAATGAGAGCTGTTTAATATGAGGTGATTTGGCAAATGCTTCAATCAGTATCTTTTGTAGTTATTCCAACTTGAGAGGTTCTTAAAATTGTTACATCTTAAATTCCTACAAGTTGATATTTTAATCTCTGATGTATACTATATCCATATTAAGTTACTTTGAAACTGTGCTGATTTATAAATAGTAATTAAAGAAATCTTCCAGAAAATATTTAATCTAATTTAAATATTGTAGATACCATATTATAATATTTCCCATGTGTCCAATGCACTTAGGAAAAGTAATCCACAAATATAAAGTTAAGCTAGAATACTTAAATACTAGCTTGTCTAATCAAAACAAAACTCCACGGTTTTACTAACTAGTACTAGTTCATCTAGAAGGCTATTTTCCCTTTCAATCAACAAATATTACTAACAAGTTAAACTATACTATATTAAAATTAACTAGTAATAATAATTTACCACTTATTGATCAGTTCACAAGGTTTACAAAAAGCTTCACATGCATAAAGATAGTTTTCAGCCCTTTATACCTTGATTTAGATAACAATGGCACTAAACGAAGAAAAACAAAAGCATACTCTGTAAACATAATTTATAAAATGTGTGCTCAAAAAGATATTTTAAATACCATCTGTCTCGATTATGTCTTACAGTGATTCTATAAACTAAATTGTTATTTCATGCAAGAATATAGCATTTTGACTGACATATAACCACATATGTTTCTTTGGAGTCAGAGTTTTACAATATTATCTAATATGAAACAAAATGATGAAAAAGCTAATTTTAAAAAGAATGCTGTTTTGTATGACATTCAGTTGATTCTGACTTATTTAAACTGAAATATGGCAGAATAGACCTGTCCCACATCATTTCCAAATTTACAACTTTAAAAGGACTCACACTCACAGCTCTGGGGCCAATTCTGATTCTTCACAAACTTATAAGACAGAATAGATCTGCACCTTAGGGTTCCCAAGACTTAAATTTTTCTGACAATAGAAAGCTTCATTGTTTTCTCTCATAGAGAGGCTGGTGGGTTCAAACCACTGACCTTGTGGTTAACAACTCAATGCAAAACCCACTATGCCACCAGGCTGTTTTTTAAAAGGATGAGGCAGGTAGCTACTATGTAGCTTCTAATTTGGTTTGGGTCAGGACTTGAAATATGTTGAAATGTTAATAGAGACATTACTAAAGATGCCAGGTGTTAAAATGAAATAACTTAATAACATTTTCTTTTAAACTCATACTTGACATATTTGTCTCTTACTATAGCATGACTGATTTTTTCTCTTAACTCTTATATTAACTGAAATTATTCCCACACATTTGTTTCATTTCATCTGAGGTGATTCATTAATCAAAAATATAAGAAGTATTACACATCATGAACTTATCTATACTAGTTATTTTTAAGAGAATTCCGATACATTTTCAATAATGTAGTAGGTTAACTATTAGGTTGCTAACCACAAGGTTGGTAGTTCGGATCCATTAGGCTTTTTTGTGAGAGACAGATGAGGCAGCTGCTTCTGCAAAGATGTACGGACTTTGTCCTTTAGAATCACTATTAGTCAAACTCTACTGTGTGGTAGTGGGTATATTGTTTAATCAATTAAGTGATGGTTAGAGACAGGCATTTGGGGGCCTTGAAGACAAATATAGATACAAACAACATTTCATTTAACAGATAAATTGCTGAGCTAAATAATGTTTCAGAGAGAAGTTCCTGTTGTACAACTTTGTCGGGGGGACAAGTGGAAAGCAAGACCTGGGAACCTTCTTTATTATCGCAGAGACCTAAGCATCAGCATAGCTACACTACCATCCAACTGTGCTGAGCTATGTTGGCTGGCAAAACGGAAGTCCATGTCTTAGCCCATTGCTCACTCTTAAACTTGACCACACAACAGAGTAAAAATATGATCTATAAAAAATAAAAAGTACTAAATGAATAAATGGAGACTAGTTATTTCTCATGAGAAACTGCCCACTCAATACACTTCTCTGAGCCCAAGTTTGGGCAAGTAGAAACGAGCATTGAGTGCCCAGGTCAGTTGCTGCAAGAGTACTTGGGTTCACTGCAGTTAGAAGGTTGCCTCCATGCTGCCCAGAGATGCCTGAGGCTATCAGGATCTAGTGCAATGTGGTTCTTAGTGCGCCTCCTCTCTCTCCAGCAGATTCTCTTTACAAGATGAAGTGCAGCTGCCTTCGCTTATCGTGGTGGAGAGAGAATGGAGGACATCTGCAAACCCAGGATAAATGAATCAAAACATTAATCTCAGCACCTGCCACTTTGTTGACTCTGGCCCATGGAAAACCCATAGGACAGAGAAAATTTGGCCTCGAGGATTTCTGAGACTGTAAATCTTTATGGGAGTAGACAGCCTCAACTTTCTTCCATAGATCAAAGGGTGGGTTTCAACCGTTCACTTTGCAGTTAAGGTCAGCATAACCCACTGTTCCACCAAAACCAAACCAAACCAAAAATAGCCACCGAGATAGAGTTGATTCCAACCCACAGTGATCCTATGTGGGGTTTCCAAAGCTATAGTTCTTTCCCGGAGCAGGCACATTCCTCGCACAGTGCAGCTGGTAGCTTTGAACCATCAACCGTGGGTAAGCAGTCTATCACTTACCTGACAGAACCACTAACTCCTCTGTCATCGAGTCAATTCTGGCTTGGGTTTCTGAGGCTGGAAATCTTTACTGGAGCAGAATGCCTCGTCGTTCTCCCACAGAACAGCTGGTGAATTTAAATTAGTGACCTGCTAGCAACCCACTGAGTAACCCACTATGTCACCAGGCCTACACCAAGAGGACTCCTTAAATACTGATGTGAAGTATGGCCTCTCCCACCCTTCCATTGATGATTAGTCTTAAACATTGTCCTGCTGTCGTTCTCTAAAGCAGAAGAGCAATTTACAAGCATAGCCAGAGAGCACAATAGCCAGGGACATCCTACTACATGAGCACACCTCAGGGAGCAATAACCACATCGGAGCTTCTGAACTGACACCATCTGACATTGTAGGGTGCACTGGAGCTATCAGATGCTCCAGGAAGCATGCCCTGGTCATCTTCTCTTATATTGTGCCATCCCTATCACACTGTGTACTGAATTTGTACCGTTTTACATTTCTATCAAGAATACCAGAAAGTACGATTCCTACAAATAAATATAATGGTTATTGTTTTAGTTTCTTATGTCCTCAGATTCAAGGATTTGGCCTAGCACACAGTAAATGTTTAGTAAGCGTTAGTAGAAATATATATTGAAATTGCTGTATCTTCCACATTCATGATAGGAGATAAGTTAAAAAACGCTCTTACAAAACACCCATACTTACATATTAAAACACAACAACATGTAATGACAATGCCATGGTATAGTCTCCTTAACACAGGAATAATTCAACTACTATGCCATAGAAAACATCAAAGAACTTTTCATCATTGACTGGATAATACATTTTTAGGCCTGTAAATTGAAAATCATTTATTATATGACAAAATTTCACTGCCATTAATCTCTAAAACCAAGCAATCTGGTTGGTGGGAGTATATTTAGAAAATGTTTCATTTTTGTGAGACTCAGTAAATTAAACTTATTTGAAGCTTTCAAATGATTGCATGACTTTTTTCAGTTAAAAATACCATATTGTTACAAATTATTTGAAAGTTGTTTTAATTATTTATAGTAGGTTAACTGATTCCAACTTTAAAACTTTTAAAATTGATTTTATATATGTATTGCACTCGCTGAAATGAAAAGTATTTCCTTCTTGTATAAGAAATGGTTCCCAAGGAAAATATTCAATTAAGAACTATGATGAAGATAATTCTGATCAACAAAAATATACAGTTACTTTGTTAAAAGACAGCAAAGAATTCCCTGCATATATACTAAAAGTAGGGTGTCTTTCTAACTGAAGTAATAGGCCTGTAAAAACAGAAATCTCTGTAAACTCTGCTGTCATTTATGGAAGTCATAAAACATGAATTTACTAGCTCTCCCTCAAAATTTTATTCTCTTTTCCTGAAATGGTTCTGGAATAACAAGAGGGATATCTTGGAATGAGGGCTGAATATGTACTTTGGATACAGTTTATAGACAATAGATATAATCAAGGCAATTATCATTAGAGAATAAAGCAGACAGGCTTGAATTTTTATCACAGCTGCACACAGAAAAAGCTTGATTAAGTAATCAGAATGTAAAGGGCTGCATATACAAAGCACAGAATACAGACTAATAAATGCTCCACATGCCCAGATTATTTAAAATTGAACCTAGTTTTTACATGCAACTTAGTGAAGTGGTAGAGTAAATAATGTCTTAAAAGTTTTCTTCATCTAAGACAAAGACTACTCAAAAATTTAAAAAATCTCTTAATCTCTACATTGTTACAATACCAGAAAAGAAAATAGAAATGATTAATTTTTAAAATTACCCAGCAATTCCATTGCATCATCTTCATTATCAATATCTTCTTCTGTTACAGAAGGGGTAGGGCTGTGGATGAATTCAAAAGAATCTTGAGAAAGCATTGCCGCCAGAAGTTTCTTATGTTGTTGCTGCTGCTGTTTTAATCCTTTAGTCTTCGGTTCCATCTTTAAACTGCCAAAGATTTCAATGTTAATTCCAACGAGGCTGAGATTATGAGTTAGTTTTAGTAAGTAAAGAAAATGTATAAACTGTTTTTATTCTTTTATGCAAATGTACATTCATATTACTAAGATACCTCGCAGGAATACTAGAAATATAGAATCTGCCTTCTTTCTTAGACTTGCTTTGTTCATACTCTAACAATTCCCAAGGGTCTGTGAGTGAGCATATGGAAAACTAAATATTTCCTGTCCCATTAAAAGTTAAGTTAATCAATTCCAAACATGAGTTAAAAACAAAAACAAGTCATTAAAAACAGGTGTAAGGGAATAAATAATTTTACATACTGCTCTAAGAATTTTTTGTTTCCTACAATTGAAATCTATTTTCTGGTTGATTTGGTCTAGGCTGCCAAGACATGGGGTAGGGTAGGGTAGAAGAAAGAATGGAGTCAGATTTAGAAATTAAAGATCCCAGTTTCTTGTGGTCTAAAACCAGCCTATCCACTTGAATGCTATTTTCTTTTTCTTTGTTTGATATTCATAACTTCTTCTGGGAAAATACTCTGTCTTTCATGGTTCTCTCCCAGAGTTTCTTGACACAGAATGCAAAAGGTGCAAACAAATAGGAAGACACACTAGTTACAAATATGGTTTGGGTGATAAAATGAAGCTGGAGACCACATGATAGAATTTTGCAAGACCAATGATTTCATCTTAGTAAATACCATTTTTCAACAACATTAACAGTGATTGAACATGTGAACTTCTCCTCATGGAGTGCACAGAAATCAGATTGGCAATATCTGTGGGAAGAGACTACGGAGAAGCTCTATGGAGACTCTATGAAGCCCTACGAAGACTCTGGAGAAGAATATGTTCTAGAGAATAGATAACTTAAACTGAAAGGGGGGGGGTGATGAGGAAAAGAGTTGAACAGAAAATGTCAAAGGGTGGCTTGAGGAAGAAAAGTATTACGATAAATGTGTAAAGACGTTGAGTTTTAAAGTCAAAAGGGAAGAGCATACGTGGCAGCTCTCCAGCTTAAAGTACTGAAGTAAATTTCACATCTTGAAGTGAAATACTGAATGATAAATGGGCAAAATGCTCTAACATTAAATGGAAGTAGTATAGACAAGAGTGGGCTTGAACAGGACCTGAAGTTACAAGTAAGCTGCATGAAGATATAGCCCAAATGCCTATGGTCTCCATTCCTGTCACACAAAGTACCTTCCTTCTCCCAGGCTGCACCTATGTCCTCATGGGAGTTCCTTATGATACAGTGGGTGATGAACAGAAAGCTGGTGCTTGTTTTCTTGATGGTTCTGCATGATGTGCAGATACCATTCAAAACTGCAAGGCAGCGGCACCACAGTCTCTTTCTGTGACTTCCCTGAGGGACAGTGGTGAAGGGAAATCTTGTCAACAGGCAGAATTTTGAGCAGTGAACCAGGTTGTTCAGTTTTTCTGGAAGTAGAGATGGCCAAATGGTACACTGATGGTACACTGATTCATGGGCTGTGGCCACTGGTTTGACTTGATGGTCAAGAAGCATGATTGGAACAATGGTGACAATGAGGTATGGGGAAGAGGTATGTAGATAATCCTCTTTGAATGGGACAAAAACATACAGATATTTATCTCATGTCACTACTCTCCACAGAGTTGCATCTGAACATGAGGATTTTAGCAATTAAGTGGATAGGATGGCAAGGAATTGTGGAAACTGCCCATGGCCACTACTGACATTGCCCAATGGGAGCATGGACAACGTGGCCATGGTGGTAGAGATTGAGGTTATACATGGGCTCAGCAATATGATTGCCATTCACCCAGGATGGCTTAGCAACTGCTACAGCTGAGTGCTCCAAGTGCCAGCAGCAAAGATAAACACTGAGTCCAAGCTTTGGGACCATTCCTCAGAGAGATCTTCCAGCAACCATATCCATAATATAAAGGGCAGCATTGTGTTCTTTGGTATAGACACTTACTCTGGATACATATTTGTCATCTCTGTATGCAATGCTTCTGACAAAATGACAAAGCTACTGTTCCTGAACTTCCAGAATGTCTTAGCCACTGGTTTGGTATTGCACACTACATTGCTACAGATTAGGGAACTCAATTCACAGCAAATGAAGTGCAGCTATGTGCATGCTCATGGAATCTACTGGACATACCATGCTCTTCATCATTCTGAAGGAGCCAGCTTGATAGAATGATAGAATTGCCTTCTAAAGATACAACTACAGTGCCAGCTATTTAACAATACCTTGCAGTGGTAATAGAGAAAGGAAATTCTAAGTATCAGTTATAGCTATATAATCAAATTGCAAAGAGAAAATTTGTAATTAAAAGTATATTTTCCCTTCATAGGTATTCTTCAAATATTTTTCTCTTGTTCCTTTATAATACACTAGATGCAGCAAGGGTACGTGCATTTTTGTTTGTACCTGTGCTAGCTGTACGATGTGAAGTGCAAGTACTATTTCATTATTGTCTTTAATCAGAGATTATGGGTGGTTAAAGTGTTCTATATAAGTACCAAATTGACAAGGGGTGCACTGTGATGGTTAGAGGTTTTTAGTGACAACAGGGCACCTATAAGAATACATGGTTGGAATACAGACCATCAGTCAGGATGCAGCCTAGTGACACCTCCTTGGAGATGTGGCCTAGACACAAGATGCTGTGTAAACCTGGCTGTCCCTTTTCTCTTCCCCTCTTGCCTGGATTGATGTGATGCCTAATCCAGCATCCTTGCATCACCATGCTGCATGACCTGCACCAGCTACATTGCATCATTACTCCGAGCCAGTTGGCCTCCGGTCTTGCATAGCCATGCTGTGAGTCCCCACTGTGACTCTCTTCACCCTACTCTGCTACCAGCCTTTACTATGCTTTACTCTTCTACCTCCTGCTTCTTTGCCCCTTGGCCATGGCAGCTTAGTGAGTTGAAAATACCCTCAGCACATTAACTTATCCATGAAAGTGAGTCAAACTAAGCTCTCTCTGCAGTTGTGTAGGTTACTTTCTTGTTATCATTCCCTTTCATAATATTAACTTCTCTACTTATATATGTTTATAGTGTCCTGGTTTTGCCTCTCTGGTGAACCCAGCCTAATGCAGTAGAAGGTCAGCAAAAAAGAAAAAAAAAGGAAGCCCCTAAGATCATTGACAGATTGGCTACAACAGTGGGCGGCTTTGAGGATGATGCAGCACTGGCATACTGTATACAGGATCAGCGGGAGCCAGAACCGATTTGACAAGACAGCACCTAACAACAGAAACATTTGTCTGTGTTGTGCTTTCACAGCTACTCACCCTTAAGTTAAATGTGTTTCAAATTTCCCTTTCTGAGTTCTTCTTTGAGCCTTGGTTGTGTCGTGATGTATGTTTAATTTCCATGCACTTCTAAAATGTTCAGTTTTCTTCTATTATTTCATTTTAATTTCATTCTACTCTGAACAGAGAACATACTTTGTATGATTTAAACCTTCAAAATTTTACTCACACTTATTTTGTGACTTAATATATGGGTCACCCCAGGGAAAGATCCATGAGCAATGGAATCGAATATGCGGTGCTATTGAAAGGTGGTGTGTTCTACTTATTTTAAAAGATCTAGTGTTACTCATATTTTTACTGATCTATCTAGATGCTCTAAACACTACTGCAAATGTTGTGTTTTAACTTTGTTCCTTCAATTCTGCAATTATTATAGAATTTTGTTCCTTCAATTCTGCAATTTTTGCATAAATATGAAGTACATGTATATTGGAAACGATTACTATATTTTCCTAATGAATTGGCCCTTTTGTGGCTACACCATGTCCTTGATTGTCTCTTGTACTATTTTTGACTTCAAGTATATTTTATCTGGCATTAGTGCAGGCAACCCAACTCTTTCAGTTGCCACTTGCACCCTCTCACTTACTACCTGCCAGAATTGGCTCAATAGGGAGTTTGGGTTTGAATTTGGGTTTTGCTTTCAACCTGCCACCACCCTCTTTCAAATGAAGAAATCAGGGGGCTGTCACCTAACTAAGTGATCATACAGCATCACCAATAGTGGGCCAAATTGACATTATGCACCTCTTGATATGATACAATGAAGAAATTATACACTATCACTTATGTAGAATTCTTGTTAAGATGTTTAATCTGAATTTAATTATTAGGAAGCAACTAAACAAACTGATTTAAGAACTTTTCCAAAATAACTGTCTGATGACATCATTAAGAATGTCAGAGTAATGAAATATGCCAAAAGGCATAAGCTTTATCATAGAAAACTAAGAGATTTTACAGCTAAACCAAATTTTAGAAACAAGATTAAAAAATAAAATATACCTAAATGTCCTACTGACAAAATTAGAGAATGTTGAGGATGAACTCTGCTACATTACTAAATGTGTACATGTAGTAAATAACAATATGATTATATAAGAAAATATCCTTAGTCTTGGATAGTCCATGCTAAATAATTCAGCAATAATGTGTACTCTCTATAACATACAGTCAGATGGGAAAAAAAGAGCATTAATTTCTCAACTGAATGCAAATACACTGTAGGAGTTCATTAAGTAGGTAACCTTTCGGTCAGGATCAGTTGGGAGTTTATAGTTTCAAGTGACTGAGACTTCCAATGGAGTCCGGGATGCCGATTCCCCAAGTAGACTCTCCTCTGACCCTGCATTCTCAGGCATCTACTTTCTTCCTCTTGAGCCCACTGTCTTAGGTTCCTGATCTAACGCCTTTTTGTTTTATATTGTCTCTGAACCAATATTGGTAAATAGTATTGTTATTTGATTCTGTGTCTTCTTTTTAGTGAATAACTGGATGGTTTTTAACTTGGATTATCTCTAATGCCCTTACTTTTGCCTAGTTAAAATTCAAAACAAAAAGCCACTTTTCTTCAATGTCCTTGGAAGTGAACATTTCATAAAACTTGACTTTCAGTTTTTCCATTTTGATTTATGCAAAAGCTGCTTGGCTGTTATTTTACATTTT